ACCCCCAGCCCCTCACTGGGGGATTCTAGGCAGGGGCTCTACCACTGAGCCACACCCCCAGCCCTTCACTGGAGGATTCTAGGCAGGGGCTCTACCACTGAGCCACACTCCATCCCCTCACTGGGGGATTCTAGGCAGAGGCTCTACCACTGAGCCACACCCCAGCCCAGAGGTATTATTAATAGTGCATTGCTAGGTGACATTTCTGACTGTGTTTGTGTGTGTGTATGTGTATCTATTTTCCATATGTCTTTGGTTCTTATCATACTACTTTTCAGCATTTTGAACTTTCCTATTCACGGGTCGCTTCCTATACTCCCCTCCCTTCACACTCCCAAGTCCTAGTTACATACCTACCTTCTTCACATTCTATCCCATCTCCAGAAATAACACCCTACTGTGGCTCTTGGCATGAAGCAGTTCGCAACACAGGGTTTCTCTCCCATTGAACTGGGAGCTGTGTGGTTGCAGGCAGCTAGTCAGCTGGGCTGCACATAGCAGACAGGCAGGAAATGCTGGTGCAGGCGGATGGTCCCTTGAGAAAACTGGGATTGTTCCTATAGCATCATTGGGTGGTAGAGTTCCCTGGGTCTTTCCCTTGAGGTCACATGTCACTTTGCTTGAGTGTAGATCATCACAGAAGGTCCATCACAGCATGCTGCTTTGATCCTGACAGCCAGAAGGTAGCTTCTGTCGCCATGGACAGGTGTATCAAGATCTGGGATATCACATCCCAAACCACGCTGTTTACCATACCCAAGTGAGAAAGGTTCCGGTGGTGGTGGTGGTGGGTGGTTGGTGTGGGCAGCAGCATCCCACAGCAGGGAAGTGGGAGAGCTATCTCTCTGCATTCCCCCCTGGACTCCAGTGTCCCAGTGGTGGTGTCTCCAGGGTGGTCCCATGGTGGGGAGTCCCAGGAGGCCAGAGAGAAGCCACCGTGTAGCTTATAGGCTGAGCCAGCCAGGGTCTCAGAGGTATTTGTTTCAATGTGAACTCTCACCAGGAAACATGCCCAGAGCCTCTGTGAAAATATGGCATTCGAGGCTAGGAGTGGTGGCACACTTCTTTAATCTCAGTGCTTAGGGCATGGAGGCAGGCAGATCTCTGCGAGTTTGAGAATTCACCCTGGCCTATGTTCTGACAGCCAGAGCTGCATAGTGAGAACCCTGCCTCCAAACAACCACACAGTGAAGTTCAGCTGGGCACAGTGGCACATACCTCTTGTCCCAGCACTAGAGACGTGGAGGTCGAGGGCTGAAGTCTCAAGGCCAGCCTAGGCTACCTAATGAGACTTGACTCTAAAATGGGAAGCTCTCAGGATCCAGGTGGTCCTCGCAGGTGGCTGCTCTGCAGTGGGTGCTGGTGTCAGGATCACAGACTGTGTACACACCCGTCACCTTGCCTGCCCTGCTCACTTCCTCCTTCCTGGGCCAGCTGCCAAGCCTGATGACTTCAGTTCAACCCCCAGGACCCACAAGGTAGAAGGAGAGACCTGACTCCTGCGAGTCCGACTCTGACCAGTCATACTCATTGTGTCACACACACATCCTCATATACACACTCACAAAATAAATCATAAATGTAGCCAAAAAAGTTAACCAAGTAGCTTGGGAGAGATGGCATTTTCATTATGATGAAATGCATGCAACATGAATTTTGACCACTTTTTAGTGCACAGTTCACTGGATTAGTTACATTCACAGTATTTGGCAAACTTCACTATTTCCAAAGTGTTTCACCACACCGAAGGGAAGCTGCATCCGTTAAGCAATGACGTCCCGCTCCCTGAAGCCCCCGGGAGCCCTTCTCTCACTTTCTGCCTCAATGAAATTGCCTAGTTTAGATATTTATATAAATGAAGTCATATTTGTCCTCAGGTAACTGACTTCTTTCACTTACTCTCTTCAAGATCCATCCCTGCTGTAGCATATAGCAGAACTTCATTTCTTTTCCTAACTGCATATATATGAATACACATACATGCACCTATATCGATATACATATATACCATGTTTTGTTTATTGGTCTGTTGATGGGCACTTGCATCTCTCTCTCTCTCTCTCTCTCTCTCTCTATATATATATATATATATATATATATATATATATATATATATATATATAATTATTGATTCTTTGGAAATTTCACATCATGTACCCCAATCCTGCTCACCTCCTAGTCCCTCCATATCCACCCCTCACCTCTGCAGTGTCCCCCACTAAAAGAAACCCCCCAAATTAATTAAAAATAAAACAAACAAAAAAATCCACCTTGCTCCTCCATCTTTCCCGTCTCTCCAACACCTCTTCATTGGTCCTAGTGGCGTTGGGAGCTGCGGTGTGTCACACAGGACACCCTTCTGTCCAGTCAGCCCCACCCACAAATGTTCACTGACATGAGTCACTGGTCTGGTCCAAGGCCTCTGGGCTCTGGCACACCATCACTGGACCCTCACTGAAACTCCTCTCAGGTACCCTGCTGTGGGCACTTGTTCTTCATGCATCAATTTGAGTCCCTGTTTTCAATTCTTCTGGTATAAAGCTAAGAGTGGACACGGTGGGTCAAATGGCAGTAATATGTTTATGTTTAGCTTTTTAAATTTTAATTTTTAAAAATTTTACTATTTTATGTGAATAGATGCTTGGCCTGCATGCATGTCTGTGTACTACGTGTGTGCAGTACCTGTGACGGCCATAAGAGGGCGCCGGATCCTCTGGAATTGGAGTTACAAACAGTTGTGAAAAGCCATCAAAAGTCACTAGAAAATTCAAGAAAAGGGAAATCTGTATTTCTTTGTATCTTTCTTCCACATCTGGCTTCCTGTCTAATGTTCTAAGTTCTCTGCTCATTATTCCTTTCTACTTAGAAGAAGACTCGAGCTTTCCCCTCGCCCCCATTTTTTCAAGATAAGGTCTCTCTGTGTAGCCCTGGCTGTCCTGGAACTCACTCTGTAGACCAGGCTGGCTTCAAACTCAGAGATTCACCTGCCTCTGCTTCCCAAGTGCTAGGATTAAAGGCGTGTGCCACCACCACTTGGCTTCTCTTGAGCTATTTAAAAAAAAACAAAAACATGTTAAAAAATAATTATTTGCAATCCTGAGAGAGAGGAGGGAGAAACACACACACACACACACACACACACACACACACACACTTTTGTATTCCTGTGACACATGTATGCCCCTGTGAGGACAACTTGCTGCAGAAGCTGGTTCTCTCCTCCCACCTCGTGAGTCCTGGGAACCAAACTTTCCGAGACAGGGTTTCTCTGTGTAGTTTTGGTACCTGTCCTGGAACTTGCTCTGTGGACCAGGCTGGCCTTGAACTCACAGAGATCCACCTGCCTCTGCCTCCCGAGTGCTGGGATTAAAAGCGTGCACCACCACCGCCCGGCCACCACTCTTTTGAGAACAATAAAATTCTTAAGAATTTCCATCTAGGGGCTGGAGAGATGGCTCAGCAGTTAAGAGACTGTTCTCACTGTGTTGTCCCAGGTTGGCCTCGAACTCATAGACCAGTCTGGTTTCAAAGTTGCAGTGAGGCGGCCTCTGGCTCTTGGATACCGGTACTGCAGGTGTGGGGCATCATGCTGTACTGAGGGTGCACTACAAACAGTTGGGTCCCTTCCTTCTGGCCCCAGGATTTCTTTTTCTTAAATATATTTTTAAATTATTTTATTTATGTGTGCACTGTGTGCTTGGTGCCTGTAGGGGACAGGAAAAGGTGTCAGGTTCTCTGGAAATGGAGTTTTGTGCCACCGTGAGGGTGCTGGGAATTGAACCCACATCTTTTGGAAGTGCAGCCAGTACTCTTAACCACCGAGTCACCTTTCCAGCCCCACCCCCAGGGTTTTGGCGAGAAAGTGGTCATTGCAAGTGGTCTCCCACTAAAGCCTCGATTTCACGTATCTCTTGCTGCCTTCAGGAGATTTTCTTCGGGAGGTGGCATCCCTCTCCCTCCAGGCAGGGCCCCATCAGGACTGCTCTTGGGTCCCTGGCATGGTGTGCGAGCACGTGCCCCACCTTTGTTTCAGGGCACACGCCAATACCATCTCAGACTGCTGCTTCACCGTCAGTGGCCACTTCCTGTGTACCAGCTCCTGGGATAAAAACTTAAAAATATGGAATATCCACACGGGGGAGTTTCGAAAACGCGGGGCCTGTGTGACTCTGATGAGGGGCCACCAGGGCTGTGTGAGTTCCTGCTGCATTGCCAGAGACAGTGAGTGACCGCTCCCCTCCTGTCCCCTCTCTCCCCTCTCCCTCCCCTAATTTCCCCTCCCCACTTCCTTGTGGGTTGCATCCTGAGAGTTGGAATGGAAAATGTGTGCCACAGTGAAGCCAGATTCACCCGTACATTGGAAGAGAACCCATCTGGCTCCTTCATGGTCCATTTGTGTGGACTTTCCTGGGTGCAGAAAAGCGGAGACGCCCCATGAGTCTAGCAGGAAGGGTGGTGCTCCCCTCACAGCGCCCCAAGCCGGGAGAGGAATTTGTGGACCCATGCTTTCCAGTGGCAGGAACACCAGATCAATGTGGCTTAAACCACAAAAGAACTTTAATTTTGGGGGGGGGTAATGTATAAAATATTGTTCAGATTGCCTTAAAATGGTGTTTCTCAAAGTGTGGTTGGTCTTTAAATAATTTGCTCATTGGGGTTGGAGAGATGGCTCAGGGGTTAAGAGCACTGACTGCTCTTCCAGAGGTCCTGAGTTCAATTCCCAGCACCCACATCATCTGTCATGAGATCTGGTGCCCTCTTCTGGCGTGTAGGGATACATGCAGACAGAACACTGTATACATAATAAATCTTTTTAAAAAATAATAATTTGCTTGTTGAAATATGCTCACACAAGACCAACAGAATTCCAGTCTTTGGAGAAGGGATGCAGGATTCTGCATTTTAATAAGCCCCAATACCCCCTGCGCCACCACCACCCCCGCCCCCATGCACATAAATGACCAGAAACACTGCCTTGAAGGAAACACTTGTCAATGTCTGCAGTCCTGTAAATTTTCATCCCGAATCCGCTCTATGGAAAGGACGCTTCCTGCCACGGTCTTGCACACCTGTTCCCCTCCCGCCCTTCTGCTTCTCCTTTGTACGGCCTTCCCCTCCAGGAGGTAAGGATGGCATCGTGTATTTCCAAGCCAGTCTGGTTCTGGTCACTGGCACTCCTCAAGGAAAAGTGGATTTCTGCCTCATTGGTGTCAGCACCAAGTCCCAAGGAAGGCTCCCATTGGCTCAGCCTGAGACACACACCCGTCTCTGAGCCAATCACACAGCAGCGGATGAAAGGCTCTGATTGGCCAGAATCGGGAAACTTTTCTGCCTCTGGAGTTAGAGGTGGGGGTTAGTATCCTCTAAACCAGAGGGACTGAGAACAAGGCGGGAGTCTTTCCTTAAGGAAGGTGTGGTGCTGCCACCAGGTGAAGTGACATGGAGGTTCAGGGGACCAGCGACAGGAAGTCTTCAGCAATGAAGGTGCAGCTAGGGCCCTTTGAGGGAAGTGGCTGTTCCGGGTAAAGTTACTTATTGCCAAGTCTGGTGACCTGAGTTCAATCCCTGGGACTCATATGGTGAAAAAGAGAAAGAGAAGGAGTCTCAAAAATTGTCTTTTGCCGGGCGGTGGTGGTGCACACCTTCAATCCCAGCACTCGGGAGGCAGAGCCAGGCGGATCTCTGTGAGTTCGAGGTCAGCCTGGTCTACAGAGTGAGTTCCAGGAAAGGCGCAAAGCTACACAGAGAAACCCTGTCTCGAAAAACCAAAAAAAAAAAAAAAAAAAAAAAAAAGTCTTTTGGTACTGTGCACACATGTACATACACACACACACACACACACACACACACACACACGTAATGATTAACAAGACAAGGCCGGCTCTGTAGCCCAGGTTGGCCTCAGACTTAAAATTCTCTTGTCTCATGCCCCCCAACTCCAAGTACTGGACCCATAACATTCACCACCATGTCTAAGGTGCGCACACCGGCAGGAGCAGTGTGGTTCAGTGGTCAACTGATCTGTTGGTGTCCATAACTATAAGGGACACGGCTACCCTGTGTAAGAAAGGAAGGGCTACAGCTGACTAGACGCCATCAAGCCGCACCAGGAAGGGGCCCTGATGATTTCAGCGTAAGCCATGGCAGTACTCAGCCTGCTTCGGCCTGCCTGCAGTGCGGAGGGGGCACCGGACCGAGGAAGACACCGCTGCACCCACTCCCCTCCTTTGTGTTGCAGGCTCTATCCTCATTTCTGGTGGCTTTGACAAGACGGTGACGATTTGGGATGTAGGAGATGGTTACCGAAAGCTGTCATTGAAGGTACAAGTGCCTGCACAACATAACGACTCTAACTTTGTTTTTTTTTTTTGGGGGGGAAGGGGGGGGGGAGTAGGATCTTGCTATGTAGCCCAGGTTAACCTCAAACATATGATCTTTCTGTTTCAGCCTCCCGAGGGCTGGGATTACGGGTGTGGTCTGCCACTCCTGGTGGCTTGCCGTCTGATACTGAGGCTAAGGCAACGAGACAGACCTAGACACCCCCTAAATGTCCTGACACCTTTGTGGGGAAGGCGAATGACATCAGCAAATTAACCACCAACACAGAAAACAATAGAGTGAGGTGACAGAGAGGGGCTTAGGGGCTAGCCCTCAGCCGTAGGCGGTGGGCTGTGAAGAGGAGGCACATGATTTCAGATCTGGATGGCAGTAGAGAGACCTTGCGCAAAGGCACTTGGTAGGTAGGGAAGAACCCAAGATCCCATTCGGAAACTCAGAGGTCACCATGAGGACCTGCTACAGCTTCAGGGCTTCTACCACCAGCAGAGGAGGCCCGCATCCAGCGGTCTTCAATGTTAGCAAAGTATTATCCAACATGGCAAGAATTTAGGGCTGGAGCCCTGTACCCTTGGTGCCGTGTCTCAGTCACCTCTGACTTTTAGCCTCTGAGTTCTCAGGGACCCTATGTCTGCACCTTGAGTAGCACATGTCCATCTTACCCCTATCCCACACACCCGAGGCTAGTCTGTCTAAGCCCAGTTCTAGGGAATGCCAAGACAGAGGGAGTTTCCATGTTAGCAAACAAACAGCTCCACACTGAATGCCCCCACACTGTCCCCTCTCCCGGATTGCTCTAGACTCTCTCTTCTCTGCTTTCTATTTTCCCATCCTTTTACTTCATTCTCTAGTTTACCACCGTGTGCATCCTCTGTGTGTGTGAAGACAGCACACTTGTAGCACAGTGCACACGTGGAGGTCCCGGGAGAGCTTTGTGGGGTGAGTTCTCTCCTCCTACTATTTTTACGTAAGTTTCAGGGCTCGAACTTGGATCTCCAGGCTTGTGTGGTGAGTCCTTTACCCACAAAGTCACCTCCCTCGCCTTTTGCTGCGCCCTGCCACCCAACCTCTCAGGCTCCTTTTCTTTTCACCCTACTCTGTTACCACACTTCCACCAGTAAAATGCCAGAGATGGTAAAGATGCCAAGGCAGAGCCAAACATCATAGGGCAGTGGCACCCGTCTCCTCTGGTTTTATTTATTATTATTATTATTATTATTATTATTATTATTATTATTATTATTATTTTGTTTTTTCAAGACAGGGTTTTTCTGTGCAGCCCTGGCTGTCCTGAAACTCACTCTGTAAACCAGGCTGGCCTTGAACTCATGGAGATCTGCCTGCCAAGTGCTGGGATTAAAGGTGTGCACTGCTGTCACCACCACCACCACCAGCTCCGGCTCCGGTTTGTTTTGACCTGAGGAAAACAGTCCTTCATTTGCTTACACTACTGTGGATGACTCTGGAGTCCCTTGAAGGCCAAAGCCTCTCCCTGATAGAGCCTCTGAGAGGCACTTTCTTGAGCAACATGGGCTAGGGAAGACCTGGGTCCAGATAGGAATATGGTCTTTTATCTCCTTCCTCTGCTGAGCACTGTGGCGTGATTTTAAAAAACATATACAGAAAGCTGATGCAGACACAAAGCACTCATCTTCATGGCTTGTATTCTGTCTTCACTGTTGACAGAACCAAGGATGCACTATGGATTTCTGACTTCCTGTTTCTGTTGTTTTTATAAAGCATTTCTCTTAGGTCTCTGTTAAATTATTTTTTGTGCAGGGCCATGATGACTGGGTGACAGATGTTGCTATTAGCAGCAACAAGAAATGGATCATCTCTGCTTCAAAGGTAAAGCAAGCAAGCAAGCTTTGGCAGATAAACGATAAACATTATAAGTCTTATCAATAAAAAACCAGGAGTTAGATATTGGGGTAAAACCTGAAGGATCAGAGAAGCAGGAGCAGCCACAGTTGCTTCCTTCCTCTTCTGTTCCTCCATCCCCAAAGGCTGAGATTCTATCTCTGCCCCACCTTATCATTTCCTGTCTCCTCTCTGTATAGACCTCTGTCTGCCCTCTGACTCCAAGCAAGCTTTATTTGTTAGAACACAAACAAAATATTACACATTTCCCCCTTTTTGGCTAAACAAAACATGAAGGTTTTAACTAACAGAAAAACTATATGCAATAAGTACAATAACTATATACAAATATATATGGCAATAATTACATTAACAATGTCTAGTTCATTAGCATTTGACGAATTCAGAGAAAATACTCCATTATCTATCCTATTTTGGTGAGTCCAAAGTGCTAATTTTGCCAAATACAAATAGACTGGATAGTGTAGCTGTAATTCTTACTTGGTAACTGTTTTTGTTATATATACTCTTACTATATTAAAGTTAAAACCTTCCTTTTTAATTAGACAAAAAGGGGGAAATGCTGTGGAATAATCTTCTTGTAAACTGTAAAGATTTGTCACTCGAATTGGTTTAATAAAATGCTGATTGGCCAGCAGCCAGGCAGGAAATATAGGTGTGGCAACCAAGCAAAGAATGCTGGGAGGAGGAAAGGCAGAGCCAAGAGTCACCAGCCAGATGCAGAGGGAGCAGGAGATGAGCGTGCCATGCTAATAAAGGTACTACGACACGGCAGAGCGTAAATAAGGAATATGGGTTAATTTAAAATGGAAGAGCTAGTTAGGAATAAGCCTGAGCTATTGGCTGAGCTTTTATAATTAATATAAGCCTCTCTGTGGCAATTTAGGAACTGGCTGCTGGGTATTTGGGAACAGGCAGACTTGACATAAAACTCCATTTACATATATTATTATAATTCTTGCTTTATTGTTTGAGACAGGCTCTTACCCTATAGTCGAGGCTGGCCTCAAACTCATGACCCTCCTCCCTCTGCCTCTCAAGTGCTGGATTATAGATATCTCCACTGTAGCCAGCTATTGTTATATATTTACAATACAGAGATATAAGATTATTTTATGAAGAGAACATAAACATGGTGACTAAACAGAGGTTACTTACACTCTATTTCCTGAAAAGTGGCCACCTATGTTGGTTCACATCTGTAATCCCAGCTCCCAGAGTGTTGTGCAGGTTCAATATAATCCCTATCAAAATGCCAATAGCTCCCACAGCCCCCCAAAATGGCAAAGTCGGCTTTCAAGCGTAAGGAACCCATAGGGTCTTTGAGTACCCAAAACAATCTTGAACAGTAATATTCACAGCAATGTTACTGGTGGGCTCATACTCCCCAAATTCCAAACTCAACTAAACTCATAATAATTAACACAATGCTAAGTGGCATCAGGACAGACAGATGGTTCAGTGGGACAGACCAGAGAACTGATCAATAAGCCATGACTTACTTGATCTGATGATTTTGTGCTACAATCACTCCATGGAGAAGGGACAATCTTCACACATGGTGCTAGGAAAACTGGACATTTATATGCAAATGAATGAAGCTGACCTCTTGTCTTATACCACAGATGGTCCTTCCATATCTGTGGGTTTCAACACACAGATTCAACCAACCTGGATTGAAAATATTAAAAATCTCGTGGGCATAGCGGTGCACACCTTTAATCCCACAGTCAGGAGGCAGAGACTGGTAGATCTCTGTGAGTTCAAAGACAGCCTGGCCTACATAGAGAGTCCTTGCCTTTTAAAAAAAAAAATCCCAAGGGCTGGGATTAAAGTCATGCACCACCACCACCTGGCCATACACACACACACACACACACACACACACACACACATTCTAAACAAAACTGTATACTGGACACACACAGACCATAATTTCCTTGTCATTGTCTCCTAAACAAGAGTCTAACATCCATTTGCGGTCTCTCAGGCATTATATACAATCTAGTGATGATTTAAAGAATATAGGAGTATGGATGTAAATTATATATATATATATATATTATATATTATATACCATTTTATGTAGGGTACTAGAGCATCTTCTAATTTTGGTATCCTTCATTGTGGGAGGTCTGGAAACAATTCCTCATGGACACTGAGGGGCCACTGTGCAAAATAAAATGCATCAAAGACCTAAACGTATGAGCTAAATTTTTAAGACTATGAAGGAAACTTTGGCGAGAAACTTGACTCTGAGGTCAGGAGTATGGCAACAGAAGTGCAGGAGAACATAGAGCTGGAGAGCTGGCTCAGTGGGTAAGAACACTGGCTGCCCTTCCAGAGGACCTGGGTTCAATTCCCAGCACTAACACAGCAGCTTACAACCATCTGTAACTCCACTTCCAGAGGATCTGACACCCTCCAGAGGCTTCTGCATGCATATGATGCATATAAATGAACACACATTTACATAGGAATAACTAAGAATATTTAAAGCAAGGAAACAATAAAAATAGGAAAATTGGATTTCATCAAAATTAATATCTTTGTTTTGTGTGTGTCAAAAGGCTAGGCCCAGTGGGGCCCAGTGGGACGCACCTGCAATCCCAGAACCTGGGAGGCCCAGGCAAAATGGAGAGGTCCAGACCAGCTTGGGCTGCACAGGGAGACCTTGCTTCAACAAACAAAATGATACCAAATAGTTTGGGGGTAAAGAGTATATAAATTTGTGCTATTGTTTATTGGTGAAATTATTAAGGCCACTCCACGTAGTTAAAAGGAGATTTATTTAATGGCATAACTTACAAATTAAGGGATAGGTAGGTCGCGGGGTGTAGGGAAGGTGTATCGCAGTCCAGCGGTGTTCTCTGGAGGTCTGCTTGGCCCACCTCCACCGTCCAAGGTCCTGGAACCGAGTGAGAGTGCAGCCCATCCAGATCTCAGGTCTCCAGGCGCCTCCCTTGGCCCCGCCTTGTAGGCGTGACAGTTGCTGAAGTCTCAATGGGGGTTGGAACTTCCAGATCAAAGCTGGAATGGCTACCCACTACAATTGTTCTTTTTTTTTTTTTTTTGCTTTGCTTTTTAACGATAGAATCTCACATATCCCAGTTTGGTCTCAGACTTATTATGTAGTCCAGGATGACCTAGAACTGATCCTCCAACCTCTGCCTCCCCAGTGCGGGGATTACAGGCGTGTGCTGCCACACTCAGCTTTATTACCCCTCTTTCTAGTCTCATCCCCAATACATTTTAAAGTCAGGGATGCTCTTGTCCCGTACCTTAAAAATATAAATGTCTAACAAACTAACATTTTAACATCACTTCAAAGGTCAGAAATGATGATGGCCAGATTGTAGACATGGGCTCACATTTACTCATTTCTAGAGTAAAAATTCATCAAGGAGCTGGAGATATGGTTCAGTCAATAAAGCCTTTGCTGCACAAGCATGAAGGCCCAGGTTCGGATCCCAGAACCCACACAAAAGCAAGGTGCCATGTTTGTTACCCCACCCGGAGGGGAGAGAGGCAGGCTGCCCTACACAACTTTCCATTTGCTTTGGTAAAACGTTTACAGAATGAGTGGAATTTGCCAAAATTTACATTTTCACTGGGTGTTGAATGTGCAGATGAGTTAGAAAAGTCTGATTTGAAGTTGGAAGTGTTGGCAGGTGGACCTCTGAGTTCGAGGCCAGCCTGGTCTACAGAGTGAGTTCTAGGATAGTCAGGGCTACACAGAGAAACCGTGTCTCGAAAAACCAAACAGCAAACAAAAACCCAGGACAACAAAAAGAAAATCTGGGTTGAATTTAGGTAGTTCCCAGCCAGCTTCTGCTTTATGTTGTCTGTGCTTTTATTAAAATCTTCACAGGAAGCCAGAAAAGGATTTGAAATGCCAACATTCAGCTGAAGGGCTGAGGGGTGACTCAAATACACACACACACACACACACACACACACACACACACACACACACACAATTTTTGTGTGTGCACCGCATCCATGCAGTGGCCTCAGATGCCAGAAAGGAGAGTTATGGGTGGTTGTGAGCTGCTCCATGTGGGTGCTGGGAAGCAAACTCCAGTCCTTTGCAAGAATAATAAGTGCTCTTACCTTATCGACTGAGCCATCTCTCCAGCCCTGACACTCTTTTGTTTGCTTGTTTTTGGTTTTCTGAGAGGTCTCATTGTGGGGTCCTGTGGCCTGGACTGGCCATGTTGCCAGGATTTGACACACTTTTTGATACACTGTAGAAACTGACTGTAGATAAACTGGCCACTTCTCCTGGGTAGGGGCCAATATAACTGTTCTCCAAAGTTCAGCTTTGTTCTCTCTATAAGACATTTAGTTTCAACTGCTTATTAGGAAATGCAACACAACACAGCCAATAAGATTTTTATTGCTGCTCTAATAAATGAACACAATAAACAATATGGACTCAGTACCTTATAATTCCATAGGATGGCAGTCCAAGAAAGTGAATCTCACTAGGGCAGAATAAAACAACTGCATTTCTTTCTGGAATTTAAAAATTTTTTTATTTATTATTGGGGGGGCAGTCAGAGGAGTATCAAATCACATGCAGCTGGAGTTACAGGCAGTTGTGAGCTGCCTTTCGTGTATGCTGGGAACCGAACTCAGGTCCTCTGCAAGAACAGCATGTGTTCTTAACCACTGAGCCACCTCTCCAGCCCTGGAATTACTTTTGTTAGTAAAAAAAAGTCCAGAGCTCACAAAGTCGTGCTCTCTGCTCCCCACCTCAGGCTTGCTTATACTCAGCCAGGTTGACCTTAACCTTGTCAGTCCCCTGTCTCAGCCTCCTGATGCTGGCATTAGTGTGCACCACCTTGGGGTTTTTGCTGTTTGTTTTGTACATTCTATGAGTTTTAGTCAAATACATGTGCAGCAGGAATCTTAACAGGTCTTATTAATAAAAACAAACCCGGAGCCAGGTATTGGGGTGAACGCTGGAAGATCAGAGAGACAGAACACACACAGCTAACCTCACCTCGCCAACTTCTCAGCCAATTCTGTCTCCTCAGACTGGAAGCCTCTGAGTCCTCATCCGAATGGATCTCAGCTGAACTGCTGCTAAAAGCCTACAAGCTTAACAAGGCCCTAGTTCCTGGCCCTCATGCCTTATATACCTTTTTGGTCCCTGCCATCACACCTGGGATGGGTGTGTCACCACGCCTGGCTGTTTCCAATGTGGCTTTGAATTCACAGAGATCCAGACGGATCTCTGTTTCCGGAATGCTAAGATTAAAGGCGTGTGCTACCACTGCCTGACCTCTATGTTTAATATAGTGGCTATTCTGTTCTCTGACCCCCAGATAAGTTTATTGGGGTGCACAATATATCAACCACATACATGCCATTATTGCAGTAGCCTATAGAACTATGCCTGAAAAATCCCTCACGCTCTGCTTATTCAGCCCCTCTTCATCCCCAGAATCCATGCCAGCCACTGTTTCTTTTTAACCGTCTCTTATCACACACACACACAAAAACAACAAACACAACATACCACACACAACACACACATATCACACAGAACACATGCCACACACAACACACACATATCACACATCAACACACATCACACAGAACATACTATACATACTACACACAACACACACATACACTATATACAACACATATCACACATCACACACAACACACAATAAACAGAACACACACGTATTACACATCACACAGAACACATACCACACACACAACACACACATATCAGACATCTCACACACACACACACACACAGAACATATACCACACACACAACACACACATATCACACATCACACAGAACACATGCCACACCTACAATACACACATATCACACATCACACAGAACACACACTACACATACTACACACACCATGCACACAGAACACACACATAAATGTAACTCTCACCTCAAAGGTGATGAGACAGTTTACTCTGGAATCAAGCATGAGTGACTGTGACACAGGAGCACAGATTCTAGTCATCCCACATTTTGTGCTCCCCCATGGCAGCAGTTCCCATAATAATGGAACCTAGAAAATCATCCCCAGCTACGTTGGAAGGTCGCAGGTACCTGGGGAAGCCTCATCTCCAGGCCTTTTGGTTGGAAGAAGTGAGGGGTCGGTCTGCACATTCCAAAGGACTTACTTCAAGGTCACAGAGGCCTTAGATAACATCAGAGGTGGGTCACAGAGGGCTGTTAAAACTGCTAGAGACGGCTCAGCTCGTGATGATCTGGCTTTGGACTTGCAACATTCCAACCTCTCCACGTCATTTGAGTTCTAATCAGTTAGTGAGCGTTGCAGAAGGCTTAGTGGAAGGTGTGGTGTTTGTTTGTTTTCCAGGAACTTGTGTTCATGCTCAGTCTATAATATTTGCTTTCCTAGAATGCTGGATAGATGAAATTTACAGCCTGTAGCCTTTTCAGACTGGCTTGTTTTGCTCAACAATATGTGTTTTTGCATTCTCCCTCTCTGTCTTTGGGGGGCTTGACAGCTCATTTATCCTGAACACGGAATGCTATCCCATTGCATGGCTGTTCCACAGGCCCTCATGTAGCTCAGGCTGGCCCCGAACTCCTGATCCTCCTGCCTCAGCTTCCCATGTGCTGGGATTACAGGCAAGGCGGGTGCCAGCACACCTGTTTTGGGTGCTGCTGGAGACTGAGCTACACCCACAGCCTTCATAGTGTTTTTTTTGTTTTGTGACCCCTGGCTTACCATTTGACTTGTTCTAGGACAACACCTTGAGACTGTGGAATATTGAAGATCTGGAGAAAATTCCTTTGGTAACTGAGAACAAGAGGACCATGGGCTGCAAGGTCAAGCAGGTTGGTATCAGGTAAAAGTACGCCCAGCGAAGAGGTCCCTTAGCCTTCACCAATTCAGTTTATTCCCTGAGCAAACATTTACAGGACCCCGGGGACAAAGGTGAGACAAGTGTCCAGACATGAGGAAAACACAGGCTCACATGATAAGCGGTCATCTTTTAGAAAAAGTAACACGGAGGGAAGGTTTTCTGAGACATATTCTTGATATATCCTAGGCTGGCCTGAAACTCTTGATTCTCTTCCCTTATTCTTCTAAGTGCTGGGTTATAAGTGTGCACATAATTTATGATTTGTTTGTTTAGTTATTGTGCTAGGGTTAGAGCCCAAGGCCTTTCATGGCCTGGCATGGGCAAGCACGCTCCCATTGAATTGCACTCCCAACTTCTAAGCTATTATTATTATTATTATTATTATTATTTTGAGATAGCATCTCACTGCATAGCCCTGGCTGGCCTGCAACTAGCAATGTACACCAGGCTGACCGTGAACTTACAGAGATGCCCCTGCCTCGGTCTCCTGAGCTCTACCGTTAAAAATGTGCTCCCCGGCTTTTTTGTGTGTGAGGTGTGTGTGTGTGTGTGTGTGTGTGTGTGTGTGTGTGTGTGTGTGTCCAGAAGAGGGCATTAGATCCCCTGGAGCTGGAGTTATAGGCAGTTGTGAGACACCTGACCTGGGTCCTCTGAAGGAGCAGAAAGGGCTCCTAACCACTGAGCCATCTCTCCAGCTCTGTGATATTATACAGGGTAGTCAGGATCAGTCTTACTGAGAAGGCAACAGGTGTGTAGACTTGAAGACGGTAAGGGGTTTGTGGGAGTGGGGTTCAGCTATCTAAGGGAAGGAGATCCTAGTAGCAGGAAGAGCCAGTTCAGGGTCAGAGGCATCAGCAAGTCTGGTCTGCCTGAGGAGTGGGCTGGGGCAGTGAAGGTCTGCAGAAGGCCGAAGGCCCAAGGGAGCCCCCTGCAGTCAGTAGATGAGTGGCTGGACCCTCTGCAAGTGTGCTGTACTCCATCTGTAGACACCCTGGCCAGATCCCTGCTTCCCCATTTCCCATGTGGAAGGCTCAGGAACCCATCATTGTTCAGTACAAGAGCTGGGTGGCAGGGCTGGCACACTGTTAGCTTCGCCAGGGAAGGCCACAGAGGCAAAAGATGTGACCACTCCACCTCCAAGCTCTCAGAAGTTCTGGCTAGAAACCACGGCTCCTTGAAATAGCCAGTGTGGGGCAGCACTGAGGCTGGGGAACGGGACACCCTTGTCTCTGTGGCTAGCTGGTTTCTATGGCTCTTGTGGCCTTGTTAGTTCACAGACCCTGGAAGCTGTAGCGTAAAGACCATCAGTCTTCCCCTGACATCCGGGCTGGCCCAGAGCTGCCTTCTCCATGAGTCCTCTTATTCAGAGTTTGAACCATGGGAAACAGGCTGTGAGGGAAGGTAGGTAAAGATTCTAATTTTAAAGGGTCTAACAGGAGCTGTAGCGGAGATGAAGCTACTGTGTTCCATTTGTTCCAAATTGACAGGAGAAACCTCAGCAGCTGGGTTTCTCAGAAGGTCTGTCCCAGCAGGATCTGCTGGGCTTCCAAGTGCCCTAAGTTCTTAAGGGGAGCAAAGTACAGGAGCATGGAGTGCCAGGATATGGACATGACACCTTGTAGGTTTGTGTGTGTGTCCCCAGAAGAGGTATTAGTGTTCTAGTGTTGGGACCCCTGAGCGGCCTTTGATGTGGGCTAAGAGTCTCTGCCTGAATCACTGGCTTAATAGTGGGTAGCAATGAGACAGGTGAGCATCTGTATGTGCTGGATGGTGTTTTGGCCAGAAAGAGACTCAGCATGGAGGAGACTACTCAGATCCCACATCAGCTAGTTGAAATCCTCATCTGGAGCTGAGCAAGTTGGCTCCCTCTCGTAAGCCCAATATTTAGGAGCTTGAAGCAGGACGATCACGAGTTGTTGGAGGTCAGCCTATGAGATTTAATGAGGCATTGTCTCCAAAAACCTAACCAATAAATGGGGGCTAGAGAGATGGTCTAGCAGCTGAGAGCACTTTCTGCTCCTGCAGAGGACCCGGATTCGATTCTAGCACCCACATAGTGGTTCATAACCATTCCCAACTCCAGTTCCAGGGGACCTGATGCCCTTAACAAACAAACAGAGAAATAGATAAAAGCCCTGTTTAGTTTGTAAATCTTGAATGCTAGCAAGGTAGCACACACCTATACCACTAGCTTTTCAGAAGGCTGAGGCAGGAGGATTTATGCTTACGGTCTACCTGAGATATATATCGAGAGCCTAACTCAAAATTAAACACACACACACACACACACACACACACACACACACACACAACGGGGTGGGGGTGGGGCTGGGAATGTAGCTCAGTGGCCTAACACGTACAAGGCCCTGGGTTTAATTCCTCTTACTGAAAAACAAACAAAAGCATCCTTACCTGCTCACCTTGCTTCTTTCTAACTCTGTCCTGCAAGTCAGGCATCCTTAGCATATCAGGACTCAGGCCACTTCTTGGGGCCCACAGGTCCACTCGGGACCACTCTGTCCAGGGAACACTGGACAAGGGCTGGACACAACCCTGTCTCCTTCCTCCCAAGCACGTGGCTGTGCGAGGGCCAGCCCTCGCTACCCTCCTAGCGTTGGAGGGAAAGGCTGGGCAGAAAACTGTGTCTGGTCTTGTGCTCCCAGCCTGCCCGGGGCAGTTTGTGGAGTCAGAGACTCGGGAGAGGGGAGGCCTTGCCTTGGCTCAGTCCAGGCCAGCTGGGTGGTGGGAGGTGGGATTCCACACACAGCGCTTCATCTCCTCTGACCTGCACATCGTTTCTGTTTTTGGAAAATACTCCATGGCAGTGCAAAAGCTGTGACCAGTTTTTCTCCGCCTTTGAAAACGAGTCTTCTGTATTAGCCAAGCGGTGTATGTTCTGCCGGAGACAGGAGGACGGAGAATCTGGCTCCTCCTCATCGTCATTGGAAGAGAGTAAGGACAGCTGATGGCCCTCGGGCCCTTTGAGCAGCTTCAGCACAGGGCACCTGCTAAGCAGTCTGCAGCGTTCTGCAGGGACCTGCTCTGAATCCCCTGCCCAGCTGAGTGGACCTATCAAACTGAGGCAGGAGCCAGGCCATGACTAGACTCTCGGAATGGTGCCGCCTCTTTGACCCCCACCCCCAAAATCCTTTAAGGGTGAGCACTTTTAGTTTTAAAATAGAATAAATCTAGATTCCTTTGGAAAACTTGTGTGTGTGTGTGTGTGTGTGTGTGTGTGTGTGTGTGTGTGTGTAATTGTAGAAGCAGTTTGCTACTTCTGAGCTTTACATCCCAGTGTCCATCTATCTCATTTTTGGAACACCTTGTGAGCTAATATTGTGGAGTCTGGAGCTGCCCTGTAATGTGGCCCTGGGACTGGCATGTGCACTTCTTGGACATGTTTGTCAAGTGAATGTGATGTGTGGGGCCCACTCTGTGGACGAGGATGGCAAGGCTTTGTGATCGCTACAGTTTGGATATGGTTTCTCCCTTCCAGGTTCAAGAGCTAGGGGCTTGGTCCTCTATGGTAATGGTGTTGAGGGGGTCAGTGGGGCTTAGTGGTTTCCTTCCTTCTTATGTGTATGGGTGTTTTGCCTGTATGTATTCAGTGCCATAGAGCCCAAAAGATGGGGATAGATTTCCTGGAAAAGAGGATTGTGAGCTACCACGTGGGTGTTGGGAGTTGGACCTGGGTCATCTTAATCACTGAGCTCTCTCTCCAGCCCACTTCAAGAGAGTTTTGAGGCCTCTTTCATCATAAAAACCACGATGAGTGTATTCATCACCACCTTAGCTCTGGGGTTGATTAGAACGCATGCACCCACACGGTCCCCAATGATGGACACCTAGATTATTGCAAACAACGCTAGCCAAACATTTCTGTGCACAATGCATTCATTTTTGCATAGATCAGTTCAGCGAATGAGTCTCCCACTGGTGTTAAGGCCAGAGGAATGCATCAGTAGTGCTTGACTTCGTTGCCAAAGGTAAGACTGGCATGGCAACGCCAGCCTGGATGGGGAAGGTCTTACTTGATCATACAACTGAAACTCCCACACATATCGTGTGGGGTCTTCGAATCGCCCAGAGCCCGCTGGGGATCCCTGTCTCTCTCTGGATCCAGGAGAAGCGGTCCAAAAGTTATGGGCCTGGGCTGGCAAGGACGGCCGCAGCTCTCTTGACACCCAAGAAAATAAGCAGCCCGGCCGTACTGGGGAATTTTGGGGTGTCTCTGGGGCAGCTGCGAGCTCCGCTGAGATTCCCAGCCGCCGATGAACTCTCCTGACCTGCAGAAGACAGAGCACAAAACAAATGCTACTGTGACCCGGAAATGAGGCCCGTCCCACTCTGCCCGCTCCGGGAAGCCGATTAAAATGACCTGAGTTCCTCCCGATGTTTACGCAAACGAGGGACGGCAAGGCGCATGCGCGCCACTGTCCGCATAGGACCGCGTACGCGTGCGCAAAACTCATGAGGTCACTAGAAATGGGAACTGGTTTCTCGCACCGCTCGTGCATGTGGCGCCGTGGCTTAGTTGGTTAAAGCGCCTGTCTAGTAAACAGGAGATCCTGGGTTCGAATCCCAGCGGTGCCTTGGCTGTGTGTTTGAGCACCTTCTTTTGTGTTACCTCTCATTTTTGCAAGAGTTCTCACTGACCGCTCCTCTGTCAGGGAGAGTGAGCCCGGGAAGACAGTTTAGCTGAAGACGTTGTTGTGTTGCCTGTTAGGCTTTTCCCCTTGAAGGAGGTCGCCAGATAGCTGTCCCTCCCAGTGCTCCCACACCGGTGAGGAGTCCCCACGACCTCCTGGCTTCTCAGCCTTGCAAAGAATGCTCATCACCTCTTCCTCAGCCGCTCAGTGGGTACTAACGCTCGGCATACTGAGGACAGTTTGGCGAGACCAAGTGAGTCTCAAAAAGTGGACCTTGTAGCATCAGATCCGACCAGACGATCTGCATCTGCAGAACACAAAACAAAACAAAAGAAACAAAAAAACCCTGCGGACGGGGGATGGTTCGGTTTTCTAGTGTGGGGCTTGACTATGCTCCGAACGCGGATACTCTTTGATTGACAATTGAGGTTACAACTCTATAAATCATTTTAAATCATCTTAAGGACTGGTGAGATGACTCAGTGGATAAAGATGCGTTGCTGCCGATCCTGATGCCCCGAGTTCAATGCCTGGGTCTAACAGGGTGGAAGGCGAGAACTGACCCCTGAAAATTTGCACATGCGTACTGTGGCTGATGTGCACCCACACATATGCTCACAAATAAATGTAATAGGAAAAAAAATCTTAAACTGAAAAATGACAAAGTAGTTGCGTTAACCCACCATTAACCCACACAGCGGGATGTGCATGGGTTTTTGGTTAGATAGGGCAGCATGTGAAAAAACACAATGCCCAGGAAAAATATGTAAGTGCTGCTGCTGCTGTCGCCGCCGCCGCCCGGCTATTGGGAGGTGGCTGTGGGGCATCTCTCCAGCTGGGGAAAAGACTGAAATTTAAAAACACTGGGTTCGGCCGGGCGGTGGCGGCGCACGCCTTTAATCCCAGCACTCGGGAGGCAGAGCCAGGCGGATCGCTGTGAGTTCGAGGCCAGCCTGGGCTACCAAGTGAGTTCCAGGAAAGGCGCAAAGCTACAGCTACACAGAGAAACCCTGTCTCGAAAAACCAAAAAAAAAAAAAAAAAAAAAAAAAAAAAAAAAAAAAAAAACACTGGGTTCTACTTGACCACTATGGTCAAGTTGACAAATACTGAGTTGAATTATTGTAAGCTGGGATGAACAAGAAAATTCACTTGTGTCAGAGGTAATTCGTTCTGCTTCTCCTACGGGTTCATTGTGTAATTTTGTTTATGCTTGTTTGTTTCAGTCAGTTCCTGCCCTTTGCAACTTCGTTGTTTTGATTGACATTGGCAAGGAAAGCGTGTGTGTGTGTGGGGGGTATTTCCACATTTTGCAGAGCTAACAGGGACGTTCAGTGGAATCCAGTTAGTGAAGGGTTTATTGGAAACCACGCTTGAGTCTTTCTGGGGCTGGCTTAGTTCAAGCTCATCTAGCGGGTCCAGGGCTTTGGAGTACTTGACTGTGAGATGCTGTTATGATTTGAATATGAAATGTCTGTCACAGGATCATGTGATGAGCGTGATCCACACGGGTGGTGCTGTTTGGGAGGTTGTAAGAGACTCTGGGACGTAAGGCCCAACAGAAGGTCACGGGGGTCAGTTCTTTGGAAGCAATCTCATCCTGATCTCTCTCTCTCTCTCTCTCTCCCCCCCTCCCCCCTCCCCCTCTCCCTCTCAACCATGGACTGAAATGGTTGAAATTGTGTCCTTAATCCTCTTTTTAAGTAATTGCAGGTGTTTTTCTATGGTAGTGAAAAGCTAACAAATTCATGGGATCAGACGGAAATGGGGCTTAGGAAAGCTCAGCTCTGAAGAGAAGCATTTGTGAGTGACCGCGGCATATGTATGATGACTTGGAAGCCGTCTGATTGGGCAAGCATCCCCAAGCAGTAAGGGCAAGCATCCCCAAGCAGTAAGCAAAGCCAGAAGAGAAACAAGGTGTTAACCAACCTTGTCTCTGTTCCTTTAAAACTGCTCAGGTGTCCTGTGGTGATATTGTGTTCCCCAAAATATTGTGCACCCTAATGAACTTATCTGGGGTCAGAGAACAGAACAGCCACTAGATATAAAGGCCAGAAAATGGTGGCATACACGCCTTTAATCCTAGCATTCCAGAGGCAGAGATCCTCCTGGATCTCTGTGAGTTCAAAGCCACACTGGAAACAGCCAGGCATGGTAAGAAGAGCCTTTAATCCCAGGAAGTGATGGCAGAAAGCAGAAAGGTATTTAAGGTGTGAGGACCAGGAACTAGGGTTGATTAAGCTTTTAGGCTTTTGAGCAGCAGTTCAGCTGAGATCTATTTGGATGAGGACTCAGAGGCTTCCAGTCTGAGGAAACACGATCAACTGAGGAATTGGCAAGGCGAGGTGGCTCTGGCTTGTTCTGCTTCTCTGATCTTCCAGCTTTAACCCAATACCTGGCTCTGGGTTTGATTTTATTAATAAGACCTTTTAAGATTCATGCTACAGTGTCCCTGCCTCGCTGCCTCTGAGTTTAGTGCCATGCGGGTTTGGAGAGCTCTTTCCAGGGTCCTCTGTGGGAAAAGTCCATGTCATCAGCGAGGACACAGTCAGTGCGTCATCTCTTAGGAAGAGCTTCTGTCACCATCCTTGGCCCAGCCTCTCCCAGGCTCTCAATTCAGCCACTTGCTCATTCCTTCTACAGCTCTTCATATTCATCACCCAAAATAACATATCACAACAGACTGAATGGAAAGAGCTATTGACAGTCTTCCTGTGAGATCTACCATGAAAGGGCTCTGTAAAGATGTAAAACAATGTTTTTCTTCACACTGAACTTTGTTCTGCGTGGTAAATAGTTTTATAAAAGTGTCATTTGTGTCAACATGTAATTGGTAAATCATCATTATTTTTTAAATCTATAGATAATTATTTTTTTCCTCAGATTTATCTTCTAGTGCCTTCAGTTGATATATATATATATAATCTAAATATATATTTTATATATTATTTAATATATATTCTAAAGAAAACAAACAGTAACTTGGAACCTTCAGTAATTAAAAAATTTTTTAAAATTTCTTTTGTGTGTATGTTTGTATTATGTCTGTGCATCATGTGTGTGCAATACCCATGGAGGCCAGAAGTGGGCACCAGTTCCCTGGAGCTGGAGTTGACAGCCGGTTGTGAGCTGGGCTGTGGGTGGTAAAAATGGAACCCTGATCCTTGGGGCAGGGGCAGGAATTACTCTTAATGACTGAGCTCTCTTTCCAGCACCCTCCCAGAAAACTTTGAGACTGCTGCAATAAAACATTTGAGCATCACTGTTTAAAGGTAAAGGCTTTAGAAAATTGTTTTATTACATAAGCCCGTGTGTGTGTGTG